GTGTGTGTGTGTGTCTGTGAAATAAAATTGTATTGTGACTGACATGTCCTTTATCAGGATTCAATTTCTAGTAGAAAAGTGTAAGACTGTGGTTTCTGTGTGTTCATGACCTTGCATACTGATAGTGTAGCCTACTGTAGCACTGAGGGGGTAACTCTGATCAATGACAGATTGTATTATTTTTGGATAAGGTCAGATATACCTAAAATATGGGTTTTACACACACACAAAGAGAAGCATGTCTCTGCAGACCAGGCTCCCCCTTTTTCAATTTTCACCAAGACAATCACAACATTTTCCCCGAGACAATCACAACACAGCAGCACAAAGAGCGTAAAGGTCAATGTTCTCCAAAGGGACGAAAGAGAAAAAACCAACAGAAGTAAAAGCAGAGAAGCAGAGAGAGAGAGAGAGAAAGAGAGACAGATCAGTTTGTCCCACTTCACCCATTTTCAAAGCCAGATGTGCCATCTCCCACCTCCAATTTGAGCATCCATTGAGTTAATGCAGCTCTTTATTGAGAGGGGAAATGAACATGTGGAAATACAGACGCCGCGCAAGGAGGGAAACAAACAGTGAAGGCGGTACAACGTGAAGATGAGACAAGATTTACGATGGAAACTTTCTGTGGAAATGGAAGCCTATCACTGTAAGCCAGTGAAGCTGATGCTGGTAGTAAGTGTTCGGCCTGCAAGTGCACAGACAAATACACACTAACCACAATCTCTCGCTGTTAGCTTTCATATCATATTCAGGCAAGTCCTGCATCCAGCAAGTTATTTTTTTCAAAGGCAGAGGTGTGTACTTGAGTCCTATGACTAACTAGCAAGGCTGTACTTAGGCACAATAAGACTTTAATGATAACATATGCATGCTTACATGCTTACAATGACCATGCTAACATGCTGAAGTTTAGGATGCATAATGTTTACCATGTTTGCCATCTTAGTTTTTTGTGACATTTTCTAATTAGCACAGCTGAGGCACTTAACTTGCAATTCAAATTTGACTATAATCCCAGTCAGCAGCACATTTAACAGGTTGTTAAGTGACACATCTAATTGGGATGAAGAATTTATAAGGACTTTACATTTGTTTAGCATTCAAAACAGCCTACATTTTATTCCCTTCACAAGTACACCTGGTGTATCTTTAATCTTTCTCTATCATCTTCAGGCAAACACAAAGGCTTGAAAGGTATGAACTTCAGGAGTGATGTGCTTCATTGCTAAAAAACAAAAGCTAGTAAGCAGAGTTAAGATTTGTTTAAAATAGGAGGGATTTAGTATTGGTCAGCTGCACTGCACAAGTTTTAGTTTGTGTTGTACACTGAATTTTGTTTTTAATTGTTCTATATTAAGCATTCATGATTTAAATTACAATTACAAAATGGGTGTTTAGCGGTGCTTTGGTTTGGGAACACAGTATGACTGAAAGTTTAGCACTTGACTTGAAACGTTAGTGTCAAGGCTTGTAAAACTAATTCTCTTCAAAAATGGTAAAAAGCTAAAGCTACTGTTTTTTAAATAGTTTTGTTTCTGACAGGGTGGACACAGCTCTTTGGGCTGAAGAGAAGACTGGTCTACAGTCTGTGGTGCATACTGTGTATTTCATTATTCTCCAAATCAAAACTGATTAAGCAAACTATGCACTACCCACAGGAAAGATGATGGCTTGATGAAAGACTGTCATCCCTTGCACTGTTAATTTTAAGTGTTTGAATAACAAGATAATGAGACCTGGAGTGTCACTAATTTAACAATGATTCAGGGTGTGCGACTTTTTAAAGAATTTGTACGATAAAAACTGCCATAAAATAATATTTTTAGCCATCCTACGAGAATATATCAGGCATTTTGTAAAATACACATGCTTTCTCTCTGATGGTTAGATGAGAAGATTGATTTTTTTCCCGTTTCCGTTAAGTATGGAGCTAGAGCCAGCAAGCAGTTAGCTTAGCTTAGCACAAAAGCCTGGAAGCAGAGGACAACAGCTAGTCTGGCTCTTTCCAAATGTTTAAATATCACCTCTAAAGCTCATTAATTAACACACTGTATGTCATTTGTTTATTTCTTCTTTGAGAGTGGTGTCAATCTTCTCATCTAACTCGTGCATTTTGTGCAAACTATTTATCACAAATATTTGTTTTGTATTAAAGAACACCAAAAGTCGACCCCTACAACATCTTAACCTGTGTTGTATTCCTGTGTTTTATTAAGTCAACTGATTTAAGACAACTAGCTAATCTCATTTGAGAAAAATGTTGTTGTACTGTGTGGGACAATTACAGTATGTTGGCCCACAAATGGTATTTAATGTGAATTATGCAATTTATGAACATTTGGTCAAATTCATTATTCAGAGTATCTTTGATGCAGAGAAGGAACTTGATGGTAAAAACACTGCGAAAGTCTTCTACATTGTTAATATTTTAATATTCAGTTGTACCCATAAAGCATTTCCAAATTTATTTTCACAGAGTGAGACAAAGTTTTGCAGAGACAGTGTTTCACAACAACTCCATGATGATTTGATGCATGTTTCAAAAGTAGATTTATGGTACGATGCTAATATAGGCCTACAAGCTGCTTTAAGATTATAAATATGGCATTTTTGCTTCGACGTGACAGAAAACTGTCTAAAGAGAGGGGGCACAAAGAAGGGGGTTGCAGGGGTTGATGACATGCAACAAAGATCCCAGGCCAGAACAGACCAGGGAATGATGGGGATACATAGTCGAAGCCTGCAATTTTAACACACTTTTTCGTGTGACACATCCTGCAGCAATACTGACAGAGCCAGAAACTTCATATGTCAAATTCAACATAAAACAATTGGTAAATAATAAAAACAGGAGTGCAGGACACAGATGTTGGCTCAGATGAGAAACCTTGAGTGTCAACCAACAAGAGAGACACAGTCATTGAACTGAAGGAGACAGTTTCATATTGTGTGAGCTACAATTGCAGCCTATATATAGCCTATATATAG